ATTGACGAGAGGATCACGATGATGCCCTTAGTTTGTTCCTATATTGACTAGTTCGAAAGTTATTCGAGAAAAACTCTCCCTATACCTAGCGCCGCCATTTTGACTTTTTTGACCCATGTGACGTCATCTTTGACCTGACCTGAAAATGACCTTTCTAAAAATTGTAGACCTTATCCGTGCGTATCCCTTGCCGTTTACCGCTTGTCGCTATCTTGCTTCGTTCTCGAGATCTCAGGGGGGGGGCGGTCATCCGCCCCCCCCCCCCGTCGGTACGAATTTGGCGCAGACCCCCGTCGGTGCGCGGGTTAAGTCACCTTTATATCGGAGTCGATTTCTGAAAGAACCGCGGGCCGGAACACGATGTAAGTCGCTGATACCAGCCGCGGGCCGGACGTCAGATGGTCGCGGGCCGGATCCAACCGTCACCCACCCACCTGGCCGGATCCGGCCCGCGGGCCGTAAGCCGACCCCTGACCTAGAAGGCCTTAAAATCGGGTATTAATCTCTGCGTCTCGTAACGGCGCACACGCTCGTTTTTTTCCGCGACGCGCAGGGCCTCGGCTAACATGTTAACTGGTGGGCCAAATGGCCCACCAGTGACCCGAAATGGCCCACCAGCCTCAAAGATTTGGCCCACCAGTAATTTTCTGAAAAATCGAAGTTTTCACATTTTACATCACGACATAGGCAACATTGTGATACAGACAGAGACAGAGGCCCTACTACATTGTTGCATTTATTAAAAGTAAGAACTTGATCGTCGTTGCCCGCCTAATACCATCACCATTCCCTGTTTCTTGAGACAGCCGTAGATTAAGCCCCGGTCACTCACCGGATTGGACCAATGGACGAGAAACGGACGGCGTCCGGTGATGTCCGGGGGATGTCCGTTCGTTTCCGTTGGACGTCCGTTTCTCATCCGTTAATATCTGTTCCATGTCCGGTGGTGTCCGGTGTGCTCAACCGGACACCACCGGACATGGAACGGATATTAACGGATGACAAACGGACGTCCAACGGAAACAAACGGACATCACCGGACGCTGACAGTTCTCGTCCGTTTCTCGTCCGTTGGTCCAATCCGTTTAAGTGTGACCGAGGCTGTAAATTTTATGCAATAATTGTGAAAGACGTCTGCCTCTGTCAATTACAGATAGTGTCGGCGGCTTCCAGCCGATCGAGGTCTGCGAGAGTTCTTGCAAGCTTTTCGATCGATCGAGTGGTTACAGTCACATAAGCATCTGCCGCAGACCAGTCGGTTACAAGAAAAACTACGAATAAAGAACAGACCAGTTCAGACGGTCGGGGATAAGCCTGCGAGCGATCTCAGACGGCTCGCCGATAGACACAATATAAGCCAGAGTCAAACTAGAGGTAGTGTCGGCAACTTCCAGCCGATTGAAGTCTGCAAGCGATATTATGCGTCTTCACGAACGGTATGATGCTTGCAGTCGCACATCTGACCAGTTGGACGAATTTCGAACCGTTCACAGTCTGCGTTCCAAAAATTTCTCATTTGGGCTGAAGATGACACTCAAGAATAAGAATGGATAATTTTCCACTCTCACATTCTGGGTGGCTAGAATTTTCCACTCACACACCCAAGAGAAATCTGAAGTTTGGGACACTGTTCACCAGAAGTGTACATAACTTAGTTTTTTTAAAGAAAATATTAGGGTTGCGCAGTGCGCTTGGGCTTTTGAGTGAATTCTTTTCCATGCGACACCAATAGGCTTAATGATCATTTTCAGAGATGTTTGGGTTGCTGCTACAACCCCCTTTTGGGGTTCCTGCTACAACCCCCTTTTGGGGTTCCTGCTACAACCCACTTTATATATAAAGTTGCACTCGTGCTGTTCACAATTCCTCCCGATCCACCCGACAACGCCCGATCCCGTCCGACCGCTTCCGAATCTCCGACTAGTCGGCAAGCGATCCATTCAGGGCTCGCTGATTTTTAACATCCGACCGGCCGTAAGTCATCGTCCAAAGTTTTATAATCTGCGTCAATATTTTGTGCATACTTGTGCGATTTTATGTGCACCGCCGGAGTATCACCATGCACTGAGAGGGTTGTGGGTCCCTACTCTCTTCTCTCTCTGAAGAGTCGGGGGGGGGGGGGGGTCGAGCCCCGTTTTTTTTTTTACATTTTTAATGCCATCCTGACGTTTTTTGCAGAATAAGTGGCCGAAATCTGGGGAGAAATCGAAAATGGGGGGGGGGGCTATGGCTACGAAGGTCAGTCCATGTCGCTGCCCAAGTGGCCCACCAGTCAAAATTCCTTAGCCGAGGCCCTGGCGACGCGCTAGCTCCACCAGTGGCGAAACGGCGATGGGGGGGGGGGGGGGTCGTACCCGCCCCCCATCGGCCGGCGTGTATGTAGAAAACAAATAGGTCCGGCGAGCAGTAGCGGCGGAACACTTTCAATTACGGGGGGGGGGGGGCACGGCACTGCCGACTTTTAGTCCCATTCTTTCCATGCAACGACCATAGGGCTACTGTCAAAAGGCCAAAATTAAAGAGGGGAACGGTGCCCCGGTGCCCTCCCCGTTCCGCCGCCTATATGCCGGCGAGGGTACCAGAGATTATATTGTCATTCATCGACCGCGAAAAAAAGAATGTCCGGGACACAAATGATATGGAATGTTACAATTGTCGGCTCCCAAATACAATAGCTTCACCTGACTGACCTCATCTACCTGACTTCAAAAGTTTCGATCATCCATTCCATGCATTAAATTCGTCATTCACTTGCAATGGTCTGATATTTCTTCATGGTTTTATTGAACCACATTTGTGGACGAATGTTTACGGAGACGAAGATAGCGCAGACAAAGGTTTGCGGACGAAAATATGCGCAGACAAAGATTTGCGGACGAAGATTTGCGTGGACGAAGAAATGTGTGGACGAAAAATGCGGACGAAGATTTGCGGACGAAGATTTGCGGACGAAGATTTGCGGACGAAGATTTGCGGACGAAGATTTGCGGACGAAGATTTGCGGACGAAGATTTGCGGACGAAGATTTGCCGGGACGAAGATTTGCGTGGACGAAGAAATGCGGACGAAGATTTGCGTAGACGAAGAAATGCGTGGACGAAAAAATGCGGACGAAGATTTGCGGACGAAGATTTGCGGGGACGAAGATTTGCGGACGAAGATATGCGCAGACGAAGATTTGCGTGGACGAAGAAATGCGGACGAAGATTTGCGTAGACGAAGAAATGCGTGGACGAAAAAATGCTTGACGAAGAAATGCGCCGACGAAGAAATGCGGAAACGAAGAAATGCGCTACGAATATTTGCGCTTACGAAGAAATGCGAGACGAAATAATGCGACACGAATAAATGCGCCGACGAAGATTTGCGGACGAAGAAATGCGGACGAAGAATTGCGCGACGAAGAAATGCCATACGAAGATTTGTCCTGGAATCATGAGGAATACCTAATCCAAGGCCATACCTAATCCAGGCTGGCACGGTCCGCCGGCATGTTTATTAATCCCACCCAGAAATGACAAACAAGGCCTCTGATTGGCCAGTTTTGGCTGCCAGACGCAGAATATTTGTCAGCCATAGAATACTATTCTTTAGCACTTTTTCAATAATGACGCATACGTTACATTTGCAAGTAAGGGCAGCTAAAATATTGTAATGGATCTTACAAGTTAAATATAACATTTTTTGAAGCCCGTACAGATTGTTTCTAGTTAGTTGGTGTTACAAAGTATTTAAAGAAATGATTATTCTGTATTTAATTAAGAACAAAAGCTTTAAGCCACTAGAATCCGCCCGACAGTTTCCAGAATCCTGCGTACGGGGACACCGCAGTCTCGGTTTCTTATGTTATCGCAATGGGGAAAAGGTGAAATTTTAAATGAGTCAGTATCGTGTTAGGAAGTACGGATGCTTTCAAAACTAAATGCCTTTCAATTCAAATCCCAGAATATCCTTTCGCGGAAACAGCCCTTCTCAGCCTGTCGGCCCATTCTCTAACGCTACAAGTCTGAACAGTGAGCGTCTCATGCGTTGCTCACGTATCGCGATAAAAAGGACGGTGTCATATAGTCAAATGAACTTTTCTTATGCATAGAGCATTTGAAACCTCACACCAAACGCCTCCTTTCCTTGTCTTCTACTGCTGCCTTTTTCACATACCTACCCAATGACCGTTCCCTCGACGTTCCTTATCGACTGCCTCACATTCAACGGCCATATCCCACCCAAGATTTATCCCACCTACGCTGAAAACCAATTGGAGGCACTTTCAATCGTCCCTTGAATAAAATTGCTACCTACACGCATTTGGAGGAGAACGAGGCCCAGAAAAGGCATGCATAAAACGATCGGTTTTGGCCCCCATGGAATAAGCCAGCAGGCCTAACATCATATTGATTGAAGAACATTTTCGAGGACATGATATCTATTAGATATTATTTTGCAAAGGTATTGTAAACATAACGTCCGCGTATCGCAGCTCTGAATCTGCTGGTGTCAGTCCCATGCAGCAGCGACCAGACCACCGTCCTGCCGCCTGCCGTTCGCTGATCATACAGGCCGGCTGTCCCAGTGTCTCATCAAACGATCACAGCTGACAGTATTTATGAAATGCCAAACAAAAACAGACACGCAAAATTGTGGATCATGCCAGCTTTTTCAGTCATGCGCGTGGAGATATATCGGTAGTTTTCCTATCACAGATCACACTGAACAGAGCAAAATCGTAGACACGCAGCAATAAATCATGCATTATCAAGTACACCGTCACCGATCGATGCATCGTGGATTACACCGAACAATACATCACTGCTTTAACGTTCCCCCAGGTGGGTGCGGGCGTTTTTGGCCACACCTGACAATTTTGTGCTTGCATAAATAAAACGACACGAAACTTAGTATAGCTTATGTATAATGCATCGATTCGCATCATTTGTGAAAAAAAATGTAACCCCATGTCACCTAAGGTCAGGTCAGGTCACCATGACGTAGAAGTTTGAAACTCGAGCTATTGCATGAGAGAATCAGTACCAACTACCAACATCTTGAGTATCTTTAATTTCGATATCGGTGACCAAGGGTCAGGTCAACTTTGCAACGTCTCCAGTTTCAGTCAGTATGAGGAACTCGAAATGCTCTGCTTTTGAAACAAAAACACTCAAACGTCGGGATCTATCGTATGCTCCTGAGGTCATCTCAGGTCATGTAACGTCTCCAACAGTTTATTTTTGTGCATTGATTTTAGATGGAACGTGGCCAGAGCGCTAAAAACATCATTATCATAGGCGGCGGAACGGGGAGGGCACCGGGCTACCGTGCCCCCTTTGATTTTGACATTTTAAGATTAGCCCTATGGGCGTTGCATGGGAAGAATGGGACCAAAAGTCGGCAATGCCCCCTTAATTGAAGGTGTTCCGCCGCTACTGATGTTAATCACAATCTCAATGTAACGAATCGACTGACATGCAATATGGCATTTTCTGCGACTTTGACCTGAGGTCAAATTTATTAAGTTGACCTTGTTAGTTCAACAAGACGAGAGAAACGCAGTGCCGGTAAAATCAACGTAATAAAAGGTTGGTATCAAAAGTTTTAAAAGATAAGACGATTTCCGAAGCACGCCAATTGTTCAGTTTTTGCCATTTGGAGGCTTAACCCTAGTTGACCTTAGCTCAAATCTGAGAACCTGAAAGATTTTCGAAAGAGCTATCGAATTCGCTTTTCCGCGGCGCTGTAGCTTCTTTGGTTCCCGAGTTATGAACCAATTTGTGAAGTTGTCAAAATCTAAAGCCAAAATTCGTCATCATTTTACTTTTGGTGACCTCCAGTGACCTCAGCAATGACCTGATCGAAAATGACCTGTATGATTCTGAAGGAAAATAGCGAGCTATATATTGATTTTACTGCGTCTTTCCAACTTTGTTACATTCCAAGATAACCTGGTGTGGCCGAATACGCCTCCCCTCCCCCCCCCCCCACCAAGTTGGCTGAGGGCCACCCGGGCGCGGGTTAATAACATGGCGCAACAGGTTTTGTTATCAACTTGTCCTTTTCACACATAGGCGACACCAAGATATCACAGCCAACGCCTATCACCAACCTGGTGGTGGGCTTTGGCCAGCGATCGCCGATCGGGGCCAACGCGGGCTCATACTCGTCCACGATCAGCACGAATGATGAATTACAGCTGCTCCAGACCACCACTTCAATCCAGCATGTAATCCCCAGTCCACATCAGACCACTAGTGAAACTCTACTGAGTGGGCCAACTGCACTGCATCTTGACCTCCTTTGCAGCTCTGGCTTTTCAGAATTTGAACAGCCTTCTCTTCCCCACCCTTCTGTACTGATGAATGATGATCCTTTGAAAACCTGGAAAAAAAGACGGTACAGTGAGATGAAACTGTTATACTATGGGTCTGTTCCAGTCGCACTTCCTAACACATCTAAACTCCTCCAAGAGCAAGATAGAGGAGGTTGGAGCAGGGCCCTCCTTGGCGTTTTAGGGGCGAAAGCTGCCACTGGAACAGGGAAGCAATCTTGGAGGAGTTAAGAGGTGTTAGGAAGTGCGACTGGAACAGACCCTATGACAATGTCTGTGCATAGAACGAGCAGATGGTAGAAGTGGTCAATTGGTGAGTGGAACAAATGCAAATGTCAGGAAAGCAGTCAGGGGGGGTCCGTCCCTTTACCGGGCCCTAGGAGGAAAATTGCTTCCAAATGCTGCCAATGTGACGTCACTGGGATGGTCGAAAGCTGATTGGTCGCTGAGATTCATGCGATGCTGTCAATTCTGGCGCACCGGCGCAGTGTTTTCCAGCCGTTGCGTGTATTGTTATACAGAGTTTGAATATTGTTTATTTGATAATAATATCACTTTTTATGTGTTTGAAGATCGGAAAAGCATACACATAAGTGGCATTCACACACTTGTCGTCTCAGAGATCATGAAGAATGACCAGCTTCAGCAGTTCAGCTCAGGTATTCAATTCAACTGTATATAAAGCATGAGTATCATAGACAGATCAGCCACGTTTCAGTTCAAGCTGGCGTTTAACCATTTTTTTTCATTTTTGGCTTTCAAAGGGAGCATGATAAACTCACGTTAAGTTGTTAAATGCCTTAGCATTGTTGAAAAGATTATGAGAAGGAGATGGAATGGAAGAGTTGTAAATTGTTTCGGAAGTGGCTAGCTTCTATAAATATTAATGCTTTGTGAAAATAACTACTTATTTGTAAAATAAAATAGCATCAAATAACAAATCAATCTATGCTTACCTCCCAGACATGAAAAAATTCACACACTGTTAGATGCGTCAGGGGCTTTCATGTCTCAAAATTCAGCGCAAGCGATTTCTCACCAAAATTTTGGCACATCTTGCGTGCAAAGTTGAAGCTTATTGTTACTTCTTTTCAATATTAGTTGTTGCTAGATTTTATCATCTGTATCTAAACTTTCAAATTTTGGGCAAAAATTTTGAATTTTAAAGGATTTCTGACATGCTGTTTGCTGAAAATCCCATTCTTGTTTATGTAAAAGTTATGTAATTGACATTTGCTAACCAAACAAGCTCTTCCTTTTCTATATATTGGTTTCTATTTATACCACCTGTGCTACTACTAATTTCTATTTGTTGAGACTATTAACCTAATGCATTTGCTTCAAATGATTTTATACGCAGCCGCACCTGTGCATGGAACAGTAATGCCAGACTCAAATTCAAAATATTAATGAAATAGCTTGTGTTATTTGCTTGTTTCACCTGAATTCCGAGTCAGGCCTGCAGTCAATACATAAATATAAAATAGGTACATGTTTTGAGGAGGCTTCATGTCAGCACATGGAAAAGGCAATCAAAGAAAAGTCACCTTTGGGGCATTGATTATTTTTGCTTGCCATCGCCTAGTGAAATGTTTTTCATATTGTTGCATTGTGTTGATAAATTTGGTAATGTGTTTTGCAGGTCCGGGGCTGGTCCTCTTGGCGGCGTGCAGAAGAGCGAGGAGTGGCTACCTGCACATAACAGCACAATGACTGGCACCGAGCTGAGGGCATAAAATCACATCATATCGACTTCAGCATCTGTCTCCCAGCTTTGGAGACGTCGCCCGAGTCCCTGAGTGGCGAGCGCCAGTTTCCGACAGGAAGTTGAGGAAGGCGACCCGAAAGCACCCGCTGGGCTGCCGACACTCCTGCGCTGCCAGCAGGGCGTGCTGCGCAGCAAAGCCTCGCTGCGTGGTCTGTACGACATCCGACACCGGCACCCAGACGTGCAGTTTCTGATGACATCCTACCTCAACCAGGGCTGCCCCGAGAATCTGCTGACTGCCTGCTGCTGAGGCCGACCTGCCGAGCCTGTCGCCGCCCCGACGGACCTGCCGACGACCTGCCGGACCTGTCGCCGCCCTGGTGAGCCTGCAGCCGCCCTGGGACCTGCTGCCAGCCCGGCGGGCCTGCCGCCGCGTCTACGCTGCCGCCCTGGCGAAACTGCCGTCGCCTTGCCGGACCCGTCGCCGCCCTGGTCAGCCTGCGGCCGCCCTGGGACCTGCTGCCACCCCGGCGGACCTACCGCTGCGTCTACGCTGCCGCCCTGGTGAAACTGCGGTCGCCCTGCCGGACCTGTCGCCGCCCTGGTAAACCTGCTGCCGACCTGTCGCACCTGCCACCGCCCTAGTGAATCTGCTGCCGACCTGCCTGACCTGTCGCTGCCGTGGTGAACCTGCTACCGACCTGTCGGACCTTTCTCGCCGCCTTGACGAGCTTGGGGAGCCTGTGCTGCGGTGCCACCGCTCTGCTTCACTTGTGATGTTGCCCGGTTCCTGGCTGTCGCGTGGTCAGTCGGCACACTGTGTTTGGAGAGGCGACATCTTGTACAGCTTTCCGACAGTTCGGAACATTTTATTGTACCTACTCAAGTCGCAATAGATCGGGCTTGTGCCTTATGTGTCCTCTACCAATCTGTCCAATATGGTTTTTAACGTATAACTACGATTTATGGTATGACATGAGCCGGCATATGGTATACCTACGCATTTTGTTCGTTCCAGTCAGAAGTTTGGAATGCGCAATGTGCATGCTTGTGTTACGGTACAATTTCGGTTTGTGCAGTTGACACAACCTCTAAATTACGGGGCGAAATAGATGCAAAACCGGGGCTGCGGAGTCGGAGTCAGAGTCGACAGTTCTGACCAGACTCGGAGTCGATTTTGGAAGCCGAGTCGGAGTCGGGGTCACCGAAAATCCATCGGCTCCGCAGACCTGGCAGGGCTGCGGAGTCGGAGTTGGAGTCGGTCGGAGTTGATTACTCAGCCCGGAGTCGGAGTCTGAGTTGGTTTTTGGAAGTGGGGGTTGGAGTCAGAGTCACCAGAAGTCCATTGACTCCGAATCCCCGCGCAAAACAATGGCGATTTTCATCTAAGAGAAAGCCGCCGATGTGTTGGGCGGATCACCGGCGGGGCGCACGTTGGCTCGGTCCGATCCGAATAATTCCGCCAAATCTTTGAGTTCGAGTAACAGCTGGTCCTAATTTGCTTCACTGAGGAAACATGACATCGTTCTGCCTTGTATCGGACATCGAAACTGCACTAAAAACCGCTAATAACGTATTTGAACATCCGTCCTCCATAATGGCTACGGACGGCGGCCGGCGAGTTACCATCCCAGTGACGTCATTCGGGCCCGGTAGGGGGACGGTAAAAAAAAACCGGATGACCATACCTGGTTATATGGCCTTGAAAGCAGTCATATTTTGTGATAGACATGATGCAGATGTTGGCCAAGCTGACAAGGCAGATATAAGTACCAGCTTGTTACACTATAACTCATCATATTTTCATGTTTAACAGAGGGAATATAATGTAAAAAAGCCTTAGCCAGATGAAAGTAGATAATATAAGTTCTATAGAAAAATGTTGATGCAAGTAATGTAGGATTTGTGGTTCTTAAAGGCTAGGTAAATGTATTCCCTGTTCAACAATTCTTCAGCATTGACATTGATGTCAATGTACATGCATCAACATACCTGTAGTGAAGTGATTCTGGGCTGCTTTCCTGAGCAGTTGATGGCCACGACTGGAATCTTAAAACACAGCTAATTTTACCATTTTGTTAACTATGACTGAGGATCTTCTGTGCTGAAAAAGAGATAGACAATAGACATCAGCTGATAGACATTGTACAACTCATTTGAGAAACAAGATCAATTCCATTTAGGGGTAGGTCTTAATATAATGATGACATGAATGAATTTCAGTTTTCACTTTTCACCAGTCCAGGTACCTAGTGACAAAATGAAATATTGTAGGAGGAATCAATGATAATGTTTCTGGTAGAAAATGCAGGCATTTTATAATTCAGTTGAAGCTTAAGATGGAGGATTTTTGGAAAATATTTGCCACAAATAACATTGGAATCTCAGAAACACAAATATCTTATTTGATGTCAAAAACAAATCAAACTGTTACCATTGAACACCAAGCAGCATGCTGAGTAGTCATTGACAAAGACATATGCATGTTACACATGGCTACAGTACTTTGAAATAGCTTTTATAAAATGTATGCACTCATGTAATCTTAACATGTAAATATTTCAGCTTAAACTTGTTTTACACTAAACCTGCTAAGCCAAGAAAAAATATAAATATGAGAAGCCCAAAACAAGTTATTGAGAACATAAACAAAGGTAATTACGGAGCGAGCGAAGCGAGCGTAGTCTTTCCTTAGAATAACGGAAATTTCTGAGTATGAGCGGCCGGCCGGCCGGCCGGCCGGCCGGCCGGCCGGCCGTGGTCACGCCTTTGCGAGGCTTATATCTCAGCAACCACTTGACCGATTTACATGCGGTAAATTTTGTAGGGTAGCTTCATTCCTTCTACCAAGTATTGGACTATTCCCGATGCATGTGGGTGACCCCTTATGCACGTGCCACGTGCAAAACGAAGAGGTGTCAGTTTGGTAATTGTTGCAATATCTCGGTAACTACTTGGCCGATTGCGCTGAAAGTTGGCATGTAGGTAGGCACCCACAAGGCACTGCATATCCATGTGCCAGAGTTGGGGTGCTGCTGCACGTGCGCACGTGCAGGGGTCGTTTCCAGATCTCGAGAACGGCTCGACCGATTGCGCTCAAATTTGGTACACAGTTAGGGACCGGTTAGTAGGGTGCCGTGCACAAGTCAGTTGGGACCCATTTTGCACGTGCGCACGTGCAGGGTGCCGCTTCCAGATCTCGAGAACGGCTGGGCCGATTGTGCCCAAATTTGGCACATCGCTAGAGACCGGTTAGTAGGGTGCCGTGCACAAGTCAGTTGGAGGTACCCCCTCGCAATTTCGCACGTGCAAGGCCCACCCTCTCGCTCGCTCCGTTAGTCGCCCCAAAAGGCGTTATACTGGTGTTACAACAAAACTGAGTCAAAACACTCAAAACTAAGTGTTTCAATGAACGCAAGATTGATGCGTGTCACAGAAGCAGCTGTCCACTGTAAAGCAGAGTGGGCACAGCATGGTGAAAGCAGGAAGTGGTGCACAAAACTGAATTAAGAACTAAGAAGAGTGCCTGACTAACTGTGTCTGTATCCCTTTATGTGTAGGTTAAGGTATTGACAAAATTTGAGCACAACCAGCCAAAATTTAACCATGGGAAGGAGGCCATGCCCACTCGCACATGACAGGTGTGCAAAAAACATGCCTGTAATACCTTATGCCTAGATACATAACGATGAAAATGTGTTGTGTCTGTGTGGTTAGTAGCACAATGTGACATGACTTTTATCAATACCTGACAGTACAATTATCATGATATTATCATTATTGCAATTGTAATAAAAATGATAAATTGAACTTTTTTTCTCACTTTATATAGCCAAAATACCTGATATTTTTTTTATATCAAGTTTGTGTACTCCAAAATTGTAATTATTCTGCTTCCTCCAGTACCTAATAAGTTTGCGCAAGACTATTTAGTATCCATTAGATGTAGGGACGATCATGACCACTTGACTAAAAATGGTTCACTTGGTTCTTACAAGCCTGTTAACTCACTGCAAAAGGGGAGTGGGGCACTGCAAAAGGGCGTGGAAATCGCCACATTTGTCTCAAGATGTTTAATGCATAATAATAGGCACCAAAATATCGTCGTATTAGTATGCAGGGTCACCAAAGAAAAAGGCAGCGTTATTTATCAAATATCAAAGCAAATTGGCAAGATCTAGCACAACGAAACACATAATTCAACACCTAACGAGGCCGGCCGAGTCCCCGATACCACCATGGCGACCGCTCAAGTCCAACTGGCCGGCAACTGGCCAATCAGGGGGCTTGTTTGTCATTTCTGGGTGGGATTAAAAAACATGCACCCGGGCGCGGGTTAATAACATGGCGCAACAGGTTTTGTTATCAACTTGTCCTTTTCACACATAGGCGACACCAAGATATCACAGCCAACGCCTATCACCAACCTGGTGGTGGGCTTTGGCCAGCGATCGCCGATCGGGGCCAACGCGGGCTCATACTCGTCCACGATCAGCACGAATGATGAATTACAGCTGCTCCAGACCACCACTTCAATCCAGCATGTAATCCCCAGTCCACATCAGACCACTAGTGAAACTCTACTGAGTGGGCCAACTGCACTGCATCTTGACCTCCTTTGCAGCTCTGGCTTTTCAGAATTTGAACAGCCTTCTCTTCCCCACCCTTCTGTACTGATGAATGATGATCCTTTGAAAACCTGGAAAAAAAGACGGTACAGTGAGATGAAACTGTTATACTATGGGTCTGTTCCAGTCGCACTTCCTAACACATCTAAACTCCTCCAAGAGCAAGATAGAGGAGGTTGGAGCAGGGCCCTCCTTGGCGTTTTAGGGGCGAAAGCTGCCACTGGAACAGGGAAGCAATCTTGGAGGAGTTAAGAGGTGTTAGGAAGTGCGACTGGAACAGACCCTATGACAATGTCTGTGCATAGAACGAGCAGATGGTAGAAGTGGTCAATTGGTGAGTGGAACAAATGCAAATGTCAGGAAAGCAGTCATATTTTGTGATAGACATGATGCAGATGTTGGCCAAGCTGACAAGGCAGATATAAGTACCAGCTTGTTACACTATAACTCATCATATTTTCATGTTTAACAGAGGGAATATAATGTAAAAAAGCCTTAGCCAGATGAAAGTAGATAATATAAGTTCTATAGAAAAATGTTGATGCAAGTAATGTAGGATTTGTGGTTCTTAAAGGCTAGGTAAATGTATTCCCTGTTCAACAATTCTTCAGCATTGACATTGATGTCAATGTACATGCATCAACATACCTGTAGTGAAGTGATTCTGGGCTGCTTTCCTGAGCAGTTGATGGCCACGACTGGAATCTTAAAACACAGCTAATTTTACCATTTTGTTAACTATGACTGAGGATCTTCTGTGCTGAAAAAGAGATAGACAATAGACATCAGCTGATAGACATTGTACAACTCATTTGAGAAACAAGATCAATTCCATTTAGGGGTAGGTCTTAATATAATGATGACATGAATGAATTTCAGTTTTCACTTTTCACCAGTCCAGGTACCTAGTGACAAAATGAAATATTGTAGGAGGAATCAATGATAATGTTTCTGGTAGAAAATGCAGGCATTTTATAATTCAGTTGAAGCTTAAGATGGAGGATTTTTGGAAAATATTTGCCACAAATAACATTGGAATCTCAGAAACACAAATATCTTATTTGATGTCAAAAACAAATCAAACTGTTACCATTGAACACCAAGCAGCATGCTGAGTAGTCATTGACAAAGACATATGCATGTTACACATGGCTACAGTACTTTGAAATAGCTTTTATAAAATGTATGCACTCATGTAATCTTAACATGTAAATATTTCAGCTTAAACTTGTTTTACACTAAACCTGCTAAGCCAAGAAAAAATATAAATATGAGAAGCCCAAAACAAGTTATTGAGAACATAAACAAAGGTAATGTTACAACAAAACTGAGTCAAAACACTCAAAACTAAGTGTTTCAATGAACGCAAGATTGATGCGTGTCACAGAAGCAGCTGTCCACTGTAAAGCAGAGTGGGCACAGCATGGTGAAAGCAGGAAGTGGTGCACAAAACTGAATTAAGAACTAAGAAGAGTGCCTGACTAACTGTGTCTGTATCCCTTTATGTGTAGGTTAAGGTATTGACAAAATTTGAGCACAACCAGCCAAAATTTAACCATGGGAAGGAGGCCATGCCCACTCGCACATGACAGGTGTGCAAAAAACATGCCTGTAATACCTTATGCCTAGATACATAACGATGAAAATGTGTTGTGTCTGTGTGGTTAGTAGCACAATGTGACATGACTTTTATCAATACCTGACAGTACAATTATCATGATATTATCATTATTGCAATTGTAATAAAAATGATAAATTGAACTTTTTTTCTCACTTTATATAGCCAAAATACCTGATATTTTTTTTATATCAAGTTTGTGTACTCCAAAATCGTAATTATTCTGCTTCCTCCAGTACCTAATAAGTTTGCGCAAGACTATTTAGTATCCATTAGATGTAGGGACGATCATGACCACTTGACTAAAAATGGTTCACTTGGTTCTTACAAGCCTGTTAACTCACTGCAAAAGGGGAGTGGGGCACTGCAAAAGGGCGTGGAAATCGCCACATTTGTCTCAAGATGTTTAATGCATAATAATAGGCACCAAAATATCGTCGTATTAGTATGCAGGGTCACCAAAGAAAAAGGCAGCGTTATTTATCAAATATCAAAGCAAATTGGCAAGATCTAGCACAACGAAACACATAATTCAACACCTAACGAGGCCGGCCGAGTCCCCGATACCACCATGGCGACCGCTCAAGTCCAACTGGCCGGCAACTGGCCAATCAGGGGGCTTGTTTGTCATTTCTGGGTGGGATTAAAAAACATGCGGTCCGCCGACATCAAAACAACGGTGCGTCAGCTGATTATTGGTCCTCCGATTCAGGAGAAATTATTAACGCGGGAACGCCGGCGCTAAATAAAGGCGGTAGGATTCACGGCTTCGCATGATCGTGTGCAATATTTTTTAATAGTATCAAGCGAGGGGTATTGCTGGAGTTTTGCAAATAAATATTTTGTTCTCAGTTTGGCTATGCGATCGTGAACACTTTATTTTCATAGATACGATATGAAACAGGATAAACAGGCCAACCCAAGGCTTATGTAGGCCAACCTTAGACTTCGCATAGCCATGGACATTGCGTAGGAAGGTACTCGCCGATCGTACCACGATACCACGGCAAGATATCAGACTTTTGGGAGTTTTGTGTCACTGAAATGTTTTAAGTGCTAAGAAGGAAAATAATTCAGTTTAATGATGTCATGGACAATGGACATTTAGCCATTCCAAGCATATAATTTGCCTGGCTTCGACAACCAGATAGCCAGGTTTATTTCAAGAGCTTCTAAAGAGGTAGTGGATTTAATATCGTTTCCATTACATTTATTTGATAATCCTACATATCAGTAAACCTGCCACGCTATCATTCTCGGCGAGCGAAGCGATTACCGGCACATCGTACCAATGCCAATGCAGCGTCGAGCGTCCGATGGTTTACGATAGGAATTATAACAATAGTTTAAAACTAGCGCTTTTTAGAACCATGGTCCGAAATGGTAATTCAAAGAACCTCTTCCCCTTTCAACTCACCTGAAAAAGCTGCTTTCGTGTACCACCCAGCACCCGTTTCGTAGATATATCAAAATGATAACCGGAGGCGAAGATTATCTTTATGATCTACCACGATTCGTGGGGCTGACTAGTACCGACGGGGATCCCACAAACACGACGGTCACATTCATTAAGCATGATGTACGGCGTAAAGCACCACAACTCGGCCCCAAAAGCGCAACCTTCTGAGATATCTTATATTTAGTTTCAATGCTGGTACTGGTGCAGTTTCAATGCTGGTACTCTGCTCATTTCTGTTCAATGAAGTTATTTCTCGCTTAAATGCGCCTCACATTAATCGTGTGCTGTGCTCCACAATCATTGCGCCGCGCGCTCTTCCTTCTTATCGGCCCCCTTGAGATCGTATCCATCAATATCTATTTGCTTCTAAGTTCTAATGACTTGTAGAGAAACAATTTTAGAGCGTTTAACAAAATAATTGCATAACGAGCGATGGGAAAAACCCAATCGTCCAACTCATAAAAAACATTGGGACACAAACAACTGGAAACTGTTGGTAGTTGGTACTTTCGCGCATAGGCGGCGGAACGGGGAGGGCACCGGGGCACCGTGCCCCCCTTTGATTTTGGCATTTTAACATGGGCTCTATGGGCGTTACATGGAAAGAATGGGACCAAAAGTCGGCAGTGCCCCCCCCCTTCCCCAGTTGAGCTGGGCGCAGGTACTAAATAGCATCAAAGGAAATCCTATATTCATCTCGCCGCATTTAAGCGCACCAATCGAAAGACGACAGCGTGACCGCGCTGACAGGCAATCAACCTGGCCACATAAAACTAGCTAGTGCAAGGAAGATGTCTATATAAACCACTGGACCATGCAAAGCGTTCAGTAAATAAAATACGAGTAAAGATGACGCGTTTGAGGGCAGACTGGCCAAACAGTGACGTTACACGCGGATCTCAACACTGCACAACACATTCATCAAAAAAGATCTCGTGGATCCCTATATACGTCATAACTAGCCCTAGTACGGGGGTATATAGCCATGGACGTAAATGGCCGGCTTAAGGCACAGGATCCCAATTGTCATCCCCATTACGTGGTCCCCAGAAGTCGCCAGGCCGAGAGCCAATGGCAGTTAAGCACATCTTACACGTGCCGACAAACGTGACACAATGAATCCAATAATGAGTCCGCTAATAAGCCTGCCTAATTCTGCATGTAGGCTGCTATTTACCACCACGGCGGAAGGCTAAAACGCATCCATACAGCTCAACATAGGTGTCAATTTCCGCCGGGTTGGGGGTGCTCAAGCTCTTTAAATTCCCCGCCGGTTCGGCTGGCTTGGCTTTGGAGCCCCAACAGACGGTGCGGGTCAAGGTCACCGCTAAGGCAGCGGCGGATTTGCTGCGCCCGGGCAGTGGGCACCTTCAATTCGGTGAAAATCGACACCCATGCAGCTCAACATGACAAAACGCTGCATACAAGCGCACGTCCTCGCATTTAATTGACGCATTTAACTGCGTCACTAACCTCGTACACTGTACAACACTGGTGAGATGACTGTCCGAAGGAAACTGCCGACTTTGGCTGGCAACATTCAGGGTTGGTGACTTATGTACTGAGTTCGGCTGGCTGACAGCGATGTGACTTCAGGACCGGTTGATGAACGGGCCATCCTAGCCCCATACTACAGGAGCCCAGCTGGTCTTGGCGAGCGGCGGCGACTGGACGAGGCTGGACCCCTACTACAGGAGCCCAGCTGGTGCTGACGAGCGGCGGTTACTGGACGAACGGGTCAGCCTGGACCCCTATTGCAGGAGTCCGGCTGGTCTTGGCGAGCGGCGACGACTGGACGAGGCTGGACTCCTACTGCAGGAGTCGAGCTGGTCCTGTCGAGGAAATAGTTAGTTCACCTTTAACATGGGATTTTAAACTGAGATAGCAGTCTGATAGAGCAGATTTGTGTATGCCTTATATTTGAACCGTTTGAGATATTCACCTTTTATCAGTGAATATTGGTGCTTAAATTCATGTTCTAGTGCTCATTTACAGCAAGCAGAAACCTCTTCAACACACACAGTGGCCAATCAGCGATGAGAGCACTTACAGGAGCAGAATCCCTTGCAGCTGATAGGTTGTTCAGCTGTTAGTGTTCACTCTAATCATTAAAATAATGAAATCCCTTTAGAAGAAGTGTGTAATTCCAAGTTAGAATACATTTAAATTTTATTCATCACATTTTTAACACACCTTTTTAAATTTTATTCATCAAGTTACTCACAGAAGGTGAACAATTTCTTTTAACACTTACCTTGCTTCAATGGTGACATGTAGCTCTTGCAGCAGAGAAGGCACAGCATTTGGCTGCAACTTCAAATATTTACTTGTTGCTATCAATTATTCAGTTTTGAAATGCATATAGGTAGGTACAGTGAATCTTGGGTTCTCCTGTAAGAATGCCGACCGCAGAAGCAGAAGTTCATCCAAAGCTTGCGCCTGAAAAAGGGCCAGGTTTAAATATCATTATACCATAATCACATTTTTGCCTAATTTGTAAGAAATAGGTTTAGGTTAGCAGAAATAGGCAAGGTTTTGACTAGACCCCCTGGGCCCTGGGTCACAACAGGAGATGACCCCCGTGATTGGTGGGACCACCAGGCACCAGCACTGGCACAGTCCGTTCTGACCACCGCACACCTATCAGCCACATTTAAAATGCACTATACTACATCCCCCACCACCTGACCACACCAGACCAAATCTGCACCGCGCTACACAAAATCCGCACTGCACCAAACTAAATCCACGCCACACCAAAGCCTCACCAGCCGGACAAGCCAGCACAGACGAGATCTTGTCGAAATTGCCATGCTTTGCAGAGTGCATACTGGCCTACCTGAACCTGACCTTACCTAACATATGAGCCTGACTGTCCTTAGCACTGGGAGCTCATTGAGACCAGGCCCCACAAGCCTAGTGGCCTCCTGAAACTTGATTTCCATATGGGGTGAGCTATTTAAGAATGGTGATCGGATATCGAACGTGAGACAAGACAGCAATGAGCAGTGGGCGGTTCATGCAACCATAATCATGTTTCCTTACCACAAGTATCAAAGCAAAATCAAAAATAGCTACCTATCGAATTCAAATTTCACTGGAACCTCACCTGCATGGATCTTAAGTGAAAGGATCTTGATACATCTGCACGAAAGATACATCTTGATCCACTCATCTCAATCTTGTTTTTCTGCATCCAGGGCATGCAACACTTCTGGTCAAGGCCGTATATAGGATATCGCTTCTGGTATTTTTGGCACCACACTCGACTGCTGAGCTCAAATGCAAATTGCAATCACGGTCATATATTGAATCGCAATGTAAATTCAGTCGATGTACCCCTCGTTCGATGTCTCTCAGACGACGAAGATTGTACGTCGTTCGGCCAATCCCGTTCTAGATCAACGGGGGCTCGGCTGCAATTATGGAATGTGATTGGCCGAATGGCGTAGAATCTTTGTCGTCCGAAAAACATCGAACAAGAGTAATGTCGCTACTGCGCCATTGTTGCATCGAATTCGCCCCATAGAAGCACGTGTTAACTCTCTCCCATAGGGCCCTGGGTAAACTCTCTCCATAGGGTCCTGGGTAAACTCTCCCCTTGTCTATTTTCTTTAAACGGGGATAGTTTGGACAACAAAATATTTTCGACCTCATAAAAAATAAAACTTAATTTTTGATGTACCTCATTGATGCAAAACATCAGAAAAACATTAGAAATTAAGTCAAAGAAACCGATTGTTTATAAATGGACAGCTGACGGCATGCCTCCCGTGTCCCCTGGCTTGAAGCTTCGGCTCCGTGTTACCTTAGTATTCTATGACCGTGACCTAATCCATGCCCAGAATATACCCACCCACCATCGCTAAACTCCGCGTCTCAATCGCCTCAACTTTTTGTTTACCCGTCTGCCTTTCAAGAGTTTTTTAAACTCAAAAGCAGGGCCAAAAAACATCCAAAAATGACCTACATTTCTTAGGTTCTTACTTCGTAGAGTAATGAACAAAAATGTTTAAACAATAATTGATTCAAAACCTGAAATGACTCCCATAATTTGCAAAGCACCTACTGCTACCTTGCGACATTTTGAGCAACTACAGCTG